TCCTTCCCCCAACGCTTGTCTGGTTCTCGACGCTGCTGTGGCCGACACTGTTCTTTCAGCCAAGGCTGGCGGCGAGGCCGAGAGACCCAAGGCCTGTCAGCAGAGGACGGAAAGGCCAGCGCGAGAGATGGAGCCCGCGCACAGACGCTACCAGCCCGAAAGGCCAAGCCCGGGAGCCAAGGCTTTTTGCCCTTCCGGGATGTGGCTTCTGCCCTTCCTTTAGGGTGAGGGATGTACAGAAAAGTCCCGTTCAGCGGCCTTAGCCCCTGCAGGCGTGATGCCATGAGTTCACTCGGGGTCAGAGCCTCAGCTCTCGAGACCTCAAAGCCTGAGCTAGAGGCTGGATTGAAAAAGCTCCGGTGCCACTACCACGCATGCGTCCCGGCCACTCCTGCTGCCAGTAGGTGCGAGGTTTGTAAACAGGACATCAGGCGACCACAGCACCTTCTTCAAGCCTAGCTTTTGATCGTTAAGTCAAAATGACTACCTGAGAATTCAGTTTCTCAAGAAATGGTTTTTGGAAGAAAAAAGATGTTTAAACTTTCTGACTCTAAGTTTACTCATTTATAAAGGATTATAATAATAATCAGTGATAAGTAATCCATGACTGAAAGTCACATATTACCTATGATTTGTGTGGAAGAAGGTACAGTAAGTTCTGGAAAGATAGACAAAACATCACAGAACTAAAAAGAATAAATTCAGTGTGGTGGCACATGCCTGTGATCCCAGCACTCTGGGCTCCAGAAGGAGGACTGGGAGCTTGAGCGCAGCCCGGGCAACTTAACAATTTACTGAGACCCTCTCTTAAAATAAAAACTTTTAAAACGAGCTAGAGAACAAAGCTCAATGAGAAGGCCCTGGGTTCAATCCCTAATACAGAAAGAAAGAAAGAAAAAGCCTCTCCTGCCACCAATGTTGCGTTGGGCCTGAGCTAGTGGGCGAGGCATCCCCTGTAATGACCCTCCACCTCTCTTCCAAATCCTTGTCCTCACTCCAGCGAAGGATGAAGTGGGGGGCTCTTAGGGAAAGGGGGGGTCAAGACTGATACAGTACAAACAAACGTTTATTTAAAGTGTGGCGAATGCAGAGAAAGCAGAGGAGCTGTTTTTGCAGCAGAGTGGTGCTGCGAGATAGGGGGCTTCCTGCTCAGGATGGCGGGTGAATATGAGATGTGTATGTATTTATAAGGCCAACTTGTTTTTTTGATTGACATTGGTTAGGCCAATAAGGGTCTTAGCCTTTGTTTCTGGGAAGGGGACAAGGTCAATTAGGTGTTCCTTAAGCATAAGTAATATTTTCATAAGAATATAATAGCATGCTTTTTTTCAAGCACATGGTACACAGACAAGCATGTGATAAATTTACAATCGTTGTCAGCCATATATAAGCATGTGATGAAGGCCAGAGATGTAGCTCAGCGGCATGATGGCTCCTGGCAAATGCAAGGTCCACAGTTCAATTCCCAAAAAATAACAAATAAGCATGTGATGACTTCATCATCAACTATCCCAATCTTGCTGAGTCCCTGGCTATGTCCCTTTAATCTTTCTCTGCAACAATATATAGATATTAGTGAAAATTGAGGATAAAAACAGCAAAGCATAATATAGTTACCAATTCAACAAGCATCAAAGCACAGAAAGTTTACTCATAAAAGAAGTACTATTATACATGCAATTTTAGGCAAGAGGCCATTATCTATTTCATTTTATTAAGTACTATTAACCAAAAACAGCCCAAAATAGAAAGTGACTTTAGTGAATTTCTAACCAGTACACACAGAGAAATCATATCAGTTTTAAAAATGTGTGACTAGGAGCAAAAGACAGTAAATGAAAACATATAGGTAGCTGCAGTTCAAGTGGACAATATTTCGATAAAACTTTTAGGAACCTGGGCATGGCATGTCTGTAGTCAGTCCCTTGGGGAGTCTGAGGCAGGATTGCTTCTGCCCAGAATTTTAAGGCCATCGTAACACAGGGATATTTTATCTCAAAAAGAAACCAAGAACAAAAGAAGGCAAAGAAAATCTGGTTCACACTGGAGAGCAAAACAAGTGTTAAGAACTTCCATTATTATGATCATTCATAGTTCTCTACCCACCAAGGATCAAATATTAATCACACTAGACAGGTATTTTTAGTATATGTTTGTAGTATATTACATTTACATTCTTTGTGGGGAATTGGTTCATGTACAAAATACATTTTAATTCTTTTTATCCCCTTCCCCTCACCCCATTGAGCTCTTGATTACTTCCATTTTTTGTACATATTTGCAATACATAAAGTTTACATCCCTTGTGTAGAGTTAGTACATGTACATAACATCTTTAGGAGGGAGGTGAGACAGGGTCTCACTGTGTAGTTTAGGCTGGACTTTAACTCACTATGTAACCCAGGTTGGCCTCAGACTCCTACATCAGCTTCCTGAGTGCTAGGATTACAGAATGTGCCACCACACCTGGCTACATAACACATCTTAATTCCTTTATTCTTTTTTATTCCCTTTGGTTTCCTGAGACAGAGTCACACTGGCCTTGAATTCACTATGTAGCCCAAGCTTGCCTCAAACTTGCAGTGATGCTCCTGCTTTAGCCTCCCTAGTGCTGGGATTAGAGGCATGCACCGCCACACCAGGCCTCAATTCTTTTTTTCATCCATTTTCCCTCTCCTTCTTGCTCCTCCCTCTCTATCTCTTGATCCTTTTCCCTTTTAGAAAGATCTACTTTTCTACTTCCTATTATCTATCTTTTATTTGCTCTTTATCTTTGCTCTTCATTTATACCTTGGATTTCTCTTATACGAGAAACCATACAATGTTTAAGCTTGTTTGTCTGATTTATTTCACTTAACATTATGGTCTCAAGCTGCAACCATTTTCCTACAAATGACCCAGGTATAACCTTCTTTGTGGCAGAGTAGTACTCTACTGTATATATTTTTAAAACATATTTTATCTAACCATTCAACTATTGATGGACATATAGGTTGCTTCTAAGAGTTAGCTATTGTGAATTCTGCTGCTACAAACATGGGTATGCATGTATAACTGTTAAGTATTTTAATTTTTTGTATTTTTGTTTTGTTCTAGGTATTTTAATTAATATAGCCAAATTACAGACAAGAAAAATATACTTAAACGGGATCAGGAAAATTTTCATTTATCATCAAAACCTGGTTTATTTTGTTGCACAGTTCCTCACTTCTGTGCCCCTACCCAGTAACTGTCACTTGTCCCAGACTGTGTGGTCAGTCCTTATCCACGAGCTTGTAGGAGCTTGAGACTGTCACTACCTTTCTGCAGACTCACCAGGGGAAAAAACATGGTTGAAGCAGATCGCCCAGGAAAGCTCTTTATTGGTGGGCTTAATACAGAAACAAATGAGAAAGCCCTTGAAGCAGTATTTGGAAAATATGGACGAATCGTGGAAGTACTCTTGATGAAAGACCGAGAAACCAATAAATCAAGAGGATTTGCTTTTGTTACGTTTGAAAGCCCAGCAGATGCTAAGGATGCAGCTCGGGACATGAATGGAAAGTCCTTAGATGGAAAAGCCATCAAGGTGGAACAAGCCACCAAACCATCATTTGAAAGTGGTAGACGTGGGCCACCTCCACCTCCAAGAAGCAGAGGCCCCCCGAGAGGTCTTAGAGGAGGAAGAGGAGGAAGCGGAGGAACTAGGGGGCCTCCCTCACATGGAGGGCACATGGATGATGGTGGCTACTCCATGAATTTTAACATGAGTTCTTCCAGAGGACCCCTTCCCGTGAAAAGAGGGCCACCACCACGAAGTGGGGGTCCTCCTCCTAAAAGATCAGCCCCTTCAGGACCAGTTCGCAGCAGCAGTGGCATGGGCGGAAGAGCCCCTATATCACGTGGAAGAGATAGTTACGGAGGCCCGCCTCGAAGGGAGCCCCTGCCCTCTCGTAGAGATGTTTATTTGTCTCCAAGAGACGATGGCTATTCCACTAAAGACAGCTATTCAAGCAGAGATTACCCAAGTTCTCGTGATACAAGAGATTATGCCCCACCACCAAGAGATTACACTTACCGTGATTACGGTCATTCCAGTTCACGCGATGACTATCCATCAAGAGGCTATAGTGATAGAGATGGCTATGGTCGGGATCGTGACTATTCAGACCACCCGAGTGGAGGGTCCTACAGAGATTCATATGAGAGTTACGGTAACTCACGTAATGCTCCACCTACAAGAGGGCCCCCACCATCTTACGGTGGAAGCAGTCGCTATGATGATTACAGCAGCTCACGGGATGGATATGGTGGAAGTCGAGACAGTTACTCAAGCAGCCGAAGTGATCTCTACTCAAGTGGTCGCGATCGGGTTGGCAGACAAGAACGAGGGCTTCCCCCTTCTATGGAAAGGGGGTACCCTCCTCCACGTGATTCCTACAGCAGTTCAAGCCGCGGAGCACCAAGAGGTGGTGGTCGTGGAGGAAGCCGATCTGATAGAGGGGGAGGCAGAAGCAGATACTAGGAACAAGCAAAACATTGGACAAAATCCCCATTCCAAGAAACAAACAAAAGTGGAAACTATTCTGTTGTGACTACCCTAGGACTACTAAAAGGAAAATTGTGTTACTTTTTAAAAATTTCCCTGTTAAGTTCCCCTTTGTAATTTTTAAGTTCTTGTGAGGAAAGAAAAGTAAAACATGTTTAAGTTTGATTTAAAAAATTAGTTTAACAACATCTTCAACCTGCAGGAAAATGGCACTCCTAACAGAAACATCAGTTCTAGAATGTAGGTTTTTGTTCTGTTTCGGTTTGGTTTGATTTGATTTGGTTTTTCGTGCTGGGGATTGAGCCCAGAGCCTTGTACTGTGGATGGTAAACATGTGCTCTGCCACTGAGCTATAGCTCAGCTTTCAACAATTGTAATGTAGAAAACTGCGAAAGTGTTAGAAGACAGCAAAATTGTTTTAGGTAAATGTGGAATTAGAGATATGGAGCTTGTCATCTTAGTCTTAGGCAGGTTATTTTGATTCTTAGGTCTACAAGCTACTAATAATGTATATACTAATTATTATGTATTGTTTATAGGCAGTACGTGTTCTGTTTAGGAAGAAACCTATTGCAAAGATAAAGGTAGTATTTACCTGAAATTTAAAAATTCAAGGGAATTTGTCCTTCTGATGCATGTTAGGACACATCATTAAAAAGAAATCTATGTAGTTTAAAAATCAGAATGAAATAGAAAACTGAAAACTCTGTTTCTTCATTGCATTAAGTAACCACTTACATTAGCATGTTTATAGAATGAATCATTTCTAAAATGTTCAAATTTTAAAATGTCAACTGCCATCTGTATTTAGAGACAACATAAAATTAACCAAACAACTGAATGTGTTTTTTTTGATAAGCTGCTTTTTCCTAGTGATATCCTATTCTGGCCTTAGTTTTCTTCTTAATCCAGTAATCTAAATATTTTGTAAACCCTCCTTGTTTTGAGGTTTCACTAGGTGCTCTTTCTGCATTCATTTGAAATCTTTAGTCTTTTTCTACATTCTACCCTAAACTACCTTTTTCTTGAGAACATCTCCATGCTCTGTACATCTTTCATTCTTTTATTTTCTCTTTCCTCATTTTTATACCCCCTCCAACTGCCCAATTCCTGTTGGCCTGTGCTTAATATTATCAGTCCCAAACTTCCTTCCCCTAGAACAACAGTCTCCAACCCATTTGTCTTCAGGAACTAGTTTTCACGGAAGACAATTTTTTCCACAGACAGGGAGTGTGAGGGTAAGTTTGGGGGACGGGTGTTCAGAATTAGATTCTCCTAAGGATCACACAATCTAGATCCCTCACAAACAGTTCACAGTAAGATTCACACTTCCTGAGAATCTAATGCTGCTGCTGATCCGACAGGAGGCAGGGCCAGGCAGTAATGCCAGTGATGGGGAGCAGCTGTAAACACAGACGAAGCTTTGCTAATGAGACTGCTGCTCACTTCCCCAGCTGCTCCATTCTCCTGCCCGCTCTGGTGCAAGTGCAGGGGTCAGGGTCAGGGGGGTCTGGTGTGTACTGTTGGGAGTTGGCCCTTGTTCTGGGATTCATAGGTAGTTGGCCCTTGTTCTTTGTTCTCTACTTTTGTGGTAAATACCACTCCTGTCTGTCTGTCTTTCTGTCTCTCTCTCTCTCTCTCTCTCTCTCTCTCCCCTCCCCTCCCCCCCTTTCTGTTTTTGAGACCAACCTTCTCTAAATAGCCCATGGTGGCCTAACCTCACATCTTCCTTAATTTCCCAAATGCTGGGATACAGCCATCCACTTCTATGCCCTGCTTGGGTTTTGGTTCTGTTTGGCCTATTTCTGTGAGAGGATTTGGAGAGATTCAAAACAGCACTGCTGCCTCCATCAGTCTGAAATCCTGCTATTTTTTAACATAATTGGTTTAAATTTAAGGCCTTGTAGTCTTTAGTCCTCCAAAGCAGAGTTCCATTTCCCTCAGACTACTTAAGACACAGAAATTCACAAGGCTTTTTGAGCACCCTCTAACTAACATGATACTTCATATCTCTACTAGCACAATATATGTTATAAAGTGTTTTCATGTTTCTACTTTTTTACCTTTTTTTTTTTTTTTTGTACTAGGAATGGAACTCAGGACCTTGTGCTTTCAAGGCAGGTGTGGTGCCATTGAGCTAAATCCCCAGCCCTAAATGTTTTAACGAAAATTCAAAGAGAGGAGTCTAAGGGCTCATCTGGGAGGGACATCTGACCACTAATAGAGGGAATAAGCCTGGGAGGCAGGTGGAGAATCCGGAAGTGGGCCCTAATTGTAAACATGTGTTTTCTTTCTCTTTGAATCTACTGTTTAAAATATGTACAGAACTAAATTTCCAATCCCCGCCCCCCAAAAATGGTCTAGGTGCAATTTCTTTATCTCTGCTCATGACAATGCCATCTTTTCAGTTACTCAGAACAAAAACCTCTGACTCCGATCATTCCCTTCCAACCACTCACCCAACACATCTGCAAATTCTATTTGCCTCCCTCAAATTGTATCTACCACCTGTCCACTTCTAACTACTTTTCTCCACTTCCACTGTAGTGTAACCCACACCACCACCATTTCCTGCCTGGAGTACTACAGTATCCTTCTGACTCAGAGGTTCCAGAACTTCTAGATTCACCAAGCCTTTGGTGTCTCACTATTAGGCCAAAAGAAATACTTAATAGTCTCATTTATTAAGCAGTTAAGTGCCAACAATTTAATAAGAATGTATGCCGATAGTAGGCTGGGTAGTGGCCATTCAAAGAAATCAAGTTCTAGAACCTATAAATAATAACATTTGAAAAAAGGGTATTTGCAGATGCAATTGAATTAAAGATATTGAGAAGGAAAAATTATCCTGAATCATCAATATGAGCCCCAAATGTAATCTTATGTGTCTTTTAATAATGGAGGCAATCAGACTGAAGAGAAGGCAATGGATCATGGAGGCAAAAGTTGAAATGATGCAGCCACCTGCCAGCAGCCACAATAAGCTAGAAGAGGCAAGGGATAAAAACTCCCCAAAAGCCTGCAGAAAGAGTATAGTCCTCCACACCTTAATTTTTGCCCAGATGTGCAGATTTCAGTCTGACCTCCAGAACTGCGAGAATAAATTTCTGTTTTTTTAAGCTACCAAGTTTGTGGTGACTTGTGAGAACAGCCAGAGGACATGAATGCAATGCCGCAACAATTACTAACCATTTCAAAAAGAATACAGGTAAATTTAAGGAAAACAATTTTATTTCACTCTCCAATAACCTTAAGTACTTGCTAATGCAATATGTATACTTATTGGGCATTGTACTAATTGAAATCAGATGGGACAGTGCCTACTTCACTTCCTGTTGCACGTTGATTTCCCCTGTATTTTATTCCAAAACCCAGCTCTCCAAAGACATGGCATGATTGAAAGGAATGTAGGCTAATTTAGCCAGAGCTCACACGGTATCTAACATGTCAAATATTGCTGACTTCCCATGAAACATTTTTACAAAAACAGGTTGCATTGGTTCACTGACACTTGCCATTCATGATCTACTGCTCTGCTCCCTTTCTCTCACTTTACTCCAGTCATGCTGAGCCCACTTACTATTCCCTGCCTAAAATGCTTTTCTTTGCCGCCTTCAAATCTGTTCTCAAATCTTAGCTTTTCAATGAGAGTTTCTTTAACTCTCTCTTTAATCACTTCTCTGTATTTCCCCCTCAGTTTGATTCCCTTAACCACGGTCCATTTCTCCTGTATTTCTTTCAACCTTCTAATATGCTATATAATTTACTTTATTATTCTAATTGTTTATAATCCATGATTTCTTGCCCATCACTAAGTACAAGATTATTTTTATTTTTATTAGTACATGTTTATAGTATGTAATGATTACATTCATCATGGGAAGTTGGTACATGTATATAACATGTTAGTTCTTTTTATGTTTCCTTTCCCTTCCCTCTTTTTCCTTCCCTCCATCTCATAGTCTCCTTCCCATTTGCAGATCTATCTCCCCATTTCCTATTATTTATCTTTTATTTTGCTCTTTATTTGTCTAAATGTGCCCTCTTTGAGGGCAGAAACTTTGTCTGCTTTGTTTGCTGGTATATGTCCAATGCCTAAACAGTATCTGGAATGTAGTATGTAATCAGTACACATTCGTTGAATGGCTGACTAAATAAATTTTCTCAAAGAGCATAAATATAGTGGCATGCAATTCATCCTTAAAAGTTATAGTGTCTGGCCAGTATTTTTAAAAAGAAAAATGTAAACCAAATATAAAATGGTAAAATCACTCACCCAAAGTGTGCCTCACAAATAACTCTAAAGATACTTCTGTTATTTAACTATATTTGAAATCTGCAACCTTAAGAATGGCACTCTTACCTAAAAGAAAGGCTTTGAATTACATGTTAGGAAATAAAATATATAACTTACAGCTAACTCATAGGTAACAAAGGAAGAAATGTGTCTAAATGTATTCCTCATGCACACATTTTAGCATTAACACACACACACACACACACACACACACACACACACACACACACACACACGCGATCTTTCCAAGTACGCGTAAGAACTTTTTTTCCAAGCTAGTCATTCTTGGTGACAGAAGATAACAACAAACTCTAGGTGGAGCTCCAAACCAGAGGTTCATCTCAATGTTACTAGTTTTATTGTAGCCTATTTCAACTCCTACTGAAGAGGAGCATCATTTGCATCCAATAATAATGAACAGCTTTAAAATACTCCTGTGCATTTACAACATTTACCTATATCAGAAATATTTCATCCCACCTCTTTTTCTTCCCAAGTATTTACTTTTCAAATTTAACATTCCCACTAGTTTCACAGGTAGAAATTTTAACAAGGTGAACCATTTGTCTTCAGTATAAATCCCTTTTCTGCTTTCTGAACACCCTAACAATGTTCAGGATAGACTGTGGTAGAGGCACAGTGCATGAAGCTTGTCTAGAATCCTGTTGAGGATTTCAATAACTGTTTGAAGATGTTTGCCCTTTAAGTGGCTCTAAGCCCCTATATATAAAACTCCTCAAACAATGGAAACTGAGTTCTTTTTCACTGTGGTGCTGTTTCTGAGGAGAAACCCAAATACAAAACTCGAAAACCTTTTCCGCTTACTCTCACTTGACTTAAAAGTCAGTAATCCCCAAGGTCACACAGTTAGCTTCTCACTAGGTTTGCTATAGATAACATCTTAACCTTGTGGATTATGATGGTAATGGTTGCCTGGGTTACTTTTCAGGGATTTAAAGGCCACTTTTGCTGAAAACACTGACCCTTCACTTGGGCCTGCAGATGTCTGATAAGGCGACTGAAACCAGAAGAAAAAAGGCTAGTATCTCTGTCTTCATATTTTGCCTGTCTCCTTTGTGACCTTAGCTTTTGAACTAAAGATACCTACCAGCCACCATGACTAGAAAGACCAGCTCATAATAGTGGTGAAAAGAATTGGCACCTGATTTTCTGGAAGATCTCTACCATTCCCCAAAAGACATGAGTATTCCTCCCCTTTGTTAGCTTCTCTCCGTCATTATTCCTATCACATGCAGAATCTGTAATTCTTCAACCTCCTTGAGTTGAGAGGTTGATTTTCAAGCAAAGCTTCTAATTCTCCATTCTTTAGCCACTGAATAAAACTCTCCCAGTGCTCTATTTCTTGAATTAATTATTTTATCAAGTGTGAACGTATCAGAGGATGCCCGACCTCCTGACTAAGGGTATAGCAGAGGATGAAGGAATAATACACAAAGAACTAATAAAAAACAAATGATAATTTATTACTGTAGGGCTGGGATCTGAGCTTAGCTCTTACTGGCTAAGACCATGAGCTTTGGACTTCATCAGTATTTACAACACGGCAGGGGCCACAAAGGCAAATGTAAGGACAGCAGGACTAAGGCAGTAATGAGCCAAGTTTGGAACAGGAAGGAACACTGTATTCTTGTGAAGGACAGGTCATAGTTAACAAACTACCCGTATTATCCTACAGCCATAGCTAACAAGCCATCTGCATTTTCTTTAGCTAATGTTTGATCCAGGAGAATGGCTGCACAGAATCATAATTCTTCAGCTGTAATGTTATCTTGCTAGTAGAGACATCACAATCTTATCAATCATGGATATCTCAACTGTGAGCATTAGCATAGGGAATTCTGTCTCCATACACCAGCCAAAGGCTGTTTTAGCAAGTCACATGTAGGCCTTGGATTGACTCATAATTTTAATCAATAGCTAAATTAAAAGCCAAGTTATGATCCAATTCAATAATATTGTAAAGCCTGCTCAGATCAGTTTCAAGCTGGTCTACTTCATGAACTGAATCAGACCTTTTCTGGGCTACATACAGATCCATCTGCTAACACAGATTCATGAGCACGGTAAATACTCAACAAATATTTACTCAGTTAATGAAGGCATCTGACCTTGAGGCCTTCTGCTTCTAGCTGTAGCTTGCCTTATAGGGAAGACTTGGTCCCAAGAATATAATTGTCAGTTTTTCACTGTTAATCTCAGCCATCACCATAATAGACTAGTCCATCCCTGTAATTCATTTTGGGGACAGTGAGACAACAATTTGTGTCAACAGTACTTGAACACTAAAGACTGTATCAACTAGGATCAAAAGCCATTCTAGGTCCTGGCAATATAGCTGTAAGTAAGTAAACACAAAGCAAACAAAAGAAAAAAACCTCCTGTCTTACCACAGATTGTATTTCCAGTGAGGAATGAATGACAATAAACAATCCAAATTCTATCAGACAGTGATAAGGACTATAAAGGGAGAACAGGACCAACTGATAAACGATAATGGAGTAGTGGTCATAGTTCTCTTCAAGGAAGTGATATAAACTGAGATGTGAATGCCCAGATGGAACCAGCCAAGTGACAAGCACCCCAGGAAGAGGAAACAGCTGCACAAAGGTCTTAAGTAAAACAGCAGATATGCAGATGGTGTGGCTGAAGAGTAGGCAACAGAGAAAGGAGACAAGATCAGAGGGGTGGCAGGAGCTAATTCACCACAATACAGAGTAAGTAGTCTGCATTTCTATTCTGAGTGTCATGGGACGTCATTGGAGGATTTTAAATTCAGGTAAAATGGAATCAGGTTTTGCCACCTGCCTTGCAAGCACAAGGTCCCGAGTTCAATCCCTGGTACAAAAAAAAAAAAAAAAAAAAAAAAGGAAAGCAAATAAAATAATACATTGTACTAGGTAAGGTTGGACACCCTTCCTACACTGATGAAATTGACTGACCTTCTGGATATGGCATTTACCACAGGAGTACAAAGTAGACAAATGACATCTGCCTAGAGTCTTCTTCGTTTTTAGCTCCTCCAGAAGGCTTCTCTAAGTGTACATTTTTTAAAAAAAAGTTTTTAGAACCTGCTACGACATGTTAAGAATTTCATCTTCTAATTTCTTGATGCTGTCCAGGAATAAGCATGCAGGAGTGCAGGAGACTATGATATTTGAGCTTGTAAGAAATCAGATGGAGGCTGCTATATTTGGTGAAAGGGTTCACAGCCATGTAGGGGTACAAATTAGAAAGATCATCTTAACTTCTATCCTGGCTGTGATCTACTAGGTGAACAGCTGAATCTATTTTGCTGATAGGTTATCTTCAATTCTTTTTATTTCTTTTTTAATAGTACTAGGGATCAAACTTGGGACCCTGCATTTGCAAGGCAGGCAGCGGCATCACTGAGCTAAATCCCTGGCCCAGGATACCTTCAATTCTTGGCCTCCAACCTGTGGGCAGGGATAAATAAGGAATTTTCCTCAGTTATGCCAAGAACCTACCAGGATTTTTTGTAACCTTAATTTCTGGTTGCATGTACAAAGTGGTTCTGTTTTCTGCTTTCCACTTAATCTAGAAATGAAGAATGTCAAATGTTTTCCTTGGCCAAGGTTTTCTTGCTTGCTTTTTCTGGTCCCTAGAAAGACAAGAGTACTAGTGCTTGCCCCAGATGCCAAAAAGTTTGGTCAACTTACCAATTTCCACCATAAAAGGACTAGATCCTGCTTCCTATAGCCTGTTAACAATTATTTTAAGAAATTCTAGTTTTTAATTTACTTAGGAACAGTATATATGTGGTGATTGTTATGTTTATGATTGGGCATATCCCTTTTATATGTGAGTACACACAGTTAAAGCTTCTTAAAGTCTATTCATAATCTCAACATCTAGGATGTTTGTAAATTCTGTTACTATGTTAAACAATAAAGAAAAGAGATACTTTGAAGACTGCTCAATGGAAATAGATATACCCGTTCCCTACCCTACCTGCTTGGCTTCCACAGTAACAGTACTTCTATAATAACAGGATCCACCTGCTGGATTTGTTCACTGTTGTATTCCCAACACTAGAACAGACTGATATATAGTCAATGCTTAGTAAATACTTAAGAGGCAGAATGGCCTGGATTTTGTCTTATATTGGCTACTGTCAATTTTATAGGCAGCTAAATTTGATAAATTTAATATACAGCCTGGACCTGAAGGAAGTCAGTGAGGTATATCTGAAGAGGACAAGGCTTCAAAATTAAAAATCACAATGAAAAGCCAGGGATTGAGCCGAGTGGTTCCGCTGGCATCCCAAGTTCGATCCCCAGTATCAAACAAACATGCAAACAAAAATCACAACGGACAGACTTAAATACTTCCCTAAGGGATGAATGGAAATTTGAGTTTATATTTAATTGGTATTAAGTCCATTAAGTCCAGATATACATCAGACACCTGTGTGGGTGACCAGAACACTTAGGCCCATCCCTTCTCCCAAATGTTCTTCTTGTAGAAGTCATAGATAAGTCAAGGCTAATGATGTCAGCTACATGCCCTTGCTATGTGCCCCATTTCCCTATTGGATTAGCAGCTATACTTGTGATAGTATTGGTTGATTATAGTTTGACCCATGTTGTACTCACCTCATGATTTTGCCCTATAAAATATTCTAGGAGAAATGACCTCGGCCACAGACCATTTGGGATCCCTGTTCTCTCACAAGCTAGTTCCTTTTTTTTTTTTTCTTTTGAGGCAGGGCCTCAAACTTGAGGGGATACTCTTGCCTCAGCCTCCCAAGTGCTGGGATAATAGGTGTGCACTACGATACCCAGGTTTTTCAGGAGCTATTCTTATTCTCCAATAAAGCTTTCCTTTTTTTTTTTTTTTTTTTTTTGTTTCACAAAATTTTTTTTTTTTTTTTTTTTTAGGTACCAGGGATTGAACTCGGGCCCTTGAACTTGCAAGTCAGGCAGCGGAACCACTGAGCCAAATCCCCGGGGAAAGCTTTCCTACTTTTAATCTTCTTTGTTCTTTGGAATTCATTATTTGATTTCATTGGACACAAATGGCACATCTAGCATCTAGTGGGTTGGGAGTTGTATTTCTCCTATATCACCAGGACCCCACCCTGATGTTCTGTGACCACCATCTCCAATGCATCAATTTCATTAGGCCCAACCCACCATGTTTATATCCTGAGTGGAAAGAGTCAACAGAGTAGTTCTGGGCATTCTTTATAGGGCACACAGTACAGTACTATATACTGTACCGACTGTGTTCCCAGATTTATCTGCAGAGAATCCATGAGTTAATTGGGGACCATAGCACGACATACACATTAATGCTTATTGGAGGGTAGAAGAATGATCCAAAAAGTTCTTTCAACAGTAAGTATGAAAAGTCAGTGACCACGTATCACCTCAGGGAATCCCAAGAGAAACGTACACAACAGGATTTGGAGCTGGTTTGGTGGAGGAGGTAATATATAAGCTGAGGCTTTAAACCAGATCTTGAAGGCTAGGATGTATCACCGTACTGACAAACTCACAGGCAGGTTGCCCAAATACATTTTGAAAAAGTGTCCCCAGAGCCACTTTCAAAGCAAAGGAAAGCATAAAGTTTCAGAGTGGTGACATACAAAGTCTTCTAAGATAGAATGAACAGCAGGCTTGTAGAACCTACCAGAAAGAAGATATGTAAATACTCAAACATACATACATACACATACATACACATGTAGACTGTGTCACTTTGTTTCTAATTGGGGTTTATAATTACCTTGTCTTGGTCCTAAACAAAGGAACTGTATCATACAGATCTTCCTGTCCCCGTTGGTTTTGCAGTGACCCTTAAATATTAATCACTCAGTACATTTTAGGTCATTAGTTTTTTTTCTAAGCAATAAAACTATTGCCTAATATCTCCGATTACCAATATCGTATAGAAAATAACCTGAAATATAAATTCAAAACTTTTTTGTCCCCCAATGTACAAATCCTGGCTAGTTTTGCCAAGTCTACAGTTGTACATAGTTCAGTAATCTCTTCCCGAAGGTGAGGTTTTTTTTGTTTTTTGTTTTGGTTTTTTTTTTTTGTACTGGGGATCGAACTGAGGACCTTGAGCTTGCAAGGCAGGCGACGGCACCACTGAGCTAAATCCCCGGCCCTCGAATATGAGATTTATGTGAGTGTGATGAAGATAACTTCTATCCAAAATCAAAATAATTTTAAAAACAAAAACGAGCTTAGTGTTTCTTTCCCTTAACCGCTGGGTTCAGCTTTCTTCTCGGTTCATTTTCCTTTACCAAGATTGCCACTACAAAATTCATTCCTCATTGGCCGGATTTTCCTGAGGGGCCGCTTCTAGTCCCACCCACCAGCCCCACCTCTCGTCCTAAACTCTCCGGAGAATGATTGACAAGCCGGCGGAGTGGGCGTGGCACGGAAGTGACGTTTCCGGAAGCTCCGAGCGTCAGCAGCCAGGAAAGGTGGGGAAGGGGTCCCGGGAATGCGGTGGGGCCGGGACTGGGAGCGTGATCGGGCTCTGAGGGGATCCGCCGCTGATTTGGGGGCCTGCATCCTAGTCCTCCCCATCGTCCCCTGCCTGGCCTGCCACACCCAGGCCCCTGACAGCTCCGGTTCCCGCGGCGCCTACCCAGCCAGGCCCAGCGCTTCCTTGCCTACTGCGTTTGATCTACGGGAAAACTTTAGATGGTTTTACCCTGGATTGGCAATTTGGGTTTGAGTGCCATCAAAAAGGGCGCCTCAAGCAGTTGTCAGAAGCCTGTATCCTGTAACGCCCTCTCCGCGCGTTCTTGCTACTTCCTTCCACCGCCTCCTCGAACTCCCCCTCCCAACTCCTTCAGGCCATCCTCCCTTGTTTGTGAATGCAGCATTTCCTCTGCGGAGATCTGCTCTACTCCGTGCTGCCTTCCCAGCGCCGGTTGCTGGCTCCGGGAAAGGGTTTCTTTCTCAAACCACTTGTACTTTTCCCTAGAGGTACTGGGTGCCATGAGCACCCTTTTTCAGTTAATTCTGATAGACTGCCCTGGATTTACCAGTTAAGCAATGTGGGGAGGTTTTAGATCTGAAAGAGGCTTCGTGGGAGATAGAATGCCTCTGCATCCCAAGGGTCCCCACAGTTTTTGTGCTGTTGATGAGGTTTCGGAGGGGACGTTTTACAGAGGAAATGTGACCTGAATATTGAAGAAACCCAAAGATAGAATTGGCCTGGAGATTACTATCTGAGGAAAGGTTTGGATAGGAAAACAGTGGCTAACAAATGAAACTGAAATGTGAGGACTCCTGGACAGATTGGAATCCTGACTGAAGCAAAAGATCTCTTTTGGTGAGGAATAAGGTATATGGATAGAAAAGACAAGATAGGGCCAGTTGACTCGGGGCCATGAATTCCAAGATGATTGCTACTTAAATTCTATTAAAGAGTGTGCTGGTTAGGGTGTACTATAATTCAGTGCATATCAAATGCCCTTACACTTTTTGGAGATTATAGAAAATGATGGTATCTGATTGGAATTTGGAAACTGTTTCAAACAGCAAAAATATCTAGAAAGATTGTGGAATTACCCCCAGGGAGGGAAAACTCCCGGATTAGAGTACCATCCCTATGCCCTTCTCTCATTGCAAGATGATTTTGTGCTCTTTCTAAGAGTGCTTAGTTTTTGAAAATGAAAAAAATATCCTTTTCAAGATCTAAATAGCTTGTCAGGATAATAATGATGTTATAGACTGATTGGTATAGTGGTTTAATTAGAGTTAACATTGTAAACAGGGCACTCAAATATAAAAAAGTATACCACAGAAAAAGTTGGTTACTCTTTGTTTTTTTTTTGGGGGGGGGTACCAGGGATTGAACTTGGGTCCTTGAGCTTGCGAGGCAGGCAGTGGAACCACTGAGCTAAATCCCTGGCTCCAAAAGTTGTTTACTCTTAGGTTAAATCAGAATTAGTAAATTGAAGTCACTTAACAATCATGAAAGTTTACTGCACTGTGCCAGGTACTGGGGTCCGTGGAAATAGGTAGCTGAAAGTAGAAATAATGGAAAAAAATATAAGGTACTGTGTACTCTTATACGATGCTCTAGGCAGGGCCACCTAATGACAAGGAATGTCTCATTGAGGGGTAGAATTGAATCCCCCATGGCCTAATGTGGTTTTATTCTTTGTACTTATTAATTATGGTGCAAGAATTGTGGGTTTTGAGTCTCCTAACTCTCTTAACAGAGAGTAATTTAGGCTTCCTTGAGAGTCTCAGCTATCTTGTTAAAGAAACACCTTATTTGATCTAAGCCACAGCATATGGTATTTTTTTTCTCTAACATCATCTTAAGGTGAAGTTTGGTGAGATAAAATGCTCTGTGTTAAACTGTGCTAATATGATGTGGGCCATGGTTTTATGCCATCTTTTTTCTGTCTCAGAACTTCTGGGTCCTGATGTCTGACCATGGAGATGTGAGCCTCCCACCTGAGGACCGGGTGAGGGCTCTCTCACAGCTGGGGAGTGCAGTGGAGGTGAATGAAGACATTCCACCCCGTCGGTACTTCCGCTCTGGAGTTGAGATTATTCGAATGGCATCCATTTATTCTGAAGAAGGCAACATTGAACATGCCTTCATCCTCTATAACAAGTATATCACGTAAGACACCTACGGTTTCCTTTTTCTTTTCCAGTGACTGATGCCTCTCTCTGCTTTTGCACTCACTTATGCTCATAATTGCTAAAACTAGAGAACTTTACAGCATCCTCAGAATTAATCATTTTTTGCTGGCAGCTCCTACGTATTGACTGTCCTTGCCATTCAAAGACATGAGTACTGAAGGTGGTGTTTTCATGACTCAGTGATCTAATGAGTAAGAGACAGCTTTTTGGCTTATGCCCCATGTGGCCCAGCTGTTAGACAAAATTGGTAATTCAATTAGACATGTTATGTTTTGATGAATGCTTTTACCATCCTTTTTCTATTAAGGGAACAAGTCATAGGATTATTGTTGAGGCCTACCAGAGCCAAAATTCCTCTCTTCTACTTACTTTGTAGCAAATCAAATGATATAAGAAAAAGATTTTTCTCTTCTTAACCTCTGATATAATTGGGCAAGTCATCAAATAATTATTGACCACTTATAGTTGGTGTGTTTCATCATAAAACGCCTTTACCTTGAGTTATTTCTCATCTTAGAGTAGGTAGCATAAATAGATTTCAGTACTGTTAATAGAGAACAGCTCATAAAGCCCCAATAATAAAGAAAAGATGTAATTTAGGATAGGAATAATGTTAAAGGTTTTATATCATTTCTAGTCTTGTTCTTTCATAATGCTAGGACCTTTAAAAATAAATTTCATGTGTTTGTGTAGCTCTTAGTAATTTACAGGGTATTTCACCTACATAATTTCATTGACCTTCACAGTCCTATGTGCACTGAATAGGGCACATCATCTTCCCATTCTCTGTATGAGGAAAGAAGTTCAGAATTTAATGGTAAATATTGTGATCTACAGTGTGAGGTGATAAAACCAAGGTTTTGTAACTCCCAATTTAGGATTTATTCTAGAACCTAGGTTCTTTTGGTTTTCCATTTAATAGTGTTCTGTACTCTTCTAAAAACAGTCATGAGCCACACTATTTTTGATTAGTTTTTTTTTAAATAGATGGCATATACATTTTGTATTGAATTCAGAAGATAATAAAGGGGCATGTATGTAGTTACAAAGTAAATCTCCCTACCTACTTTTTTTCTTCCAATCTTCAGTTCTTCTCTTTAGAAACAGTCACTCTTAGTATTTCTCTGTATATTCTCCTAGAGAGATCCATATGCACAGCAATTATATCACATTACTCCTCCGGAGGGATCACATACTTCCCTAAAGCAGGAGATCTAACTTTGACCACGAATCAGCCTTTGTTGGGGCTGTCCAGTGCTTTGTATGTTTAGCATCATCTCTGGTTTCTATCCACTAGGTGCCATTAGCAACCCCTCCCCTATCTGTGACAACTCAAAATGTATCCAAACATTACCGAATGCTCTCAGGGGTGCAAGATTGCTGTGACTGAGAACTAATGCTTTAGAGAAAAGTATGTGGAAGGGTGAACTGCTGGGGATTAATACTGTAATTTCAGAGTAGAGAAAAGGACTGCTATTGTCTTTGGGTGGTGGCGGTGCGGGGGGTATAGACAGGGGTCTGTAGTCCAGGCTGGTCTCAAATTCAAACTCACTGTTACCCGGCTTCAGCCTCCCAAATGCTGGGATTACAGACGTACACCACAACACCTGGCCTATTGTCTCTTTTAAATTTAGAAATATTGCTTGTTTGCTCAGAATTCTTATAATCATTAAAGCCATCACGTACTGTGGCCTCATTGTTGATAATATTTAATAGAACTATAATTACATTTCCTTTGTTGATAGGAATTTTTCATTCTTTTTTTTTTTTTTTTGGCTTTTTGAGACAGGGTCTCACTATGTAGTTGAGACTGACCTGGAACTTACTATGTAGCCCAGGCTGGTCTCGAACTCACAGCGATCCTCCTGCCTCAGCCTCCCAAGTGCTGGGATTACAGGCATGTGCCACCACGCAGGAATTTTTCATTCTTAGCCACAAAATTTATTTTCTGAGTTTCCTTAGTTTCTTTGGCTACTCTAAGTGGTACCTTGGTTCTGAACTCAATTCTCTCCATGATTCTGGTCACAAACTGAACTGAATGAGAACCAAATAAAATTTCCCCACCAGGTCCTAGGTTCCTGAATTGGGAGTTACAAAACCTTGGTTTTATCACTCCACACTGCAGATCACAATATTTACCACTAAATTCTGAACTTCTTTCCTCATACAGAGAATGGGAAGATGATATGCCCTATTCAGTGCACATAGGACTGTGAAGGTCAAATGAAATTATGTAGGTGAAATACCTTGTAAATTACTAAGAGCTACACAAACACATGCATGCAATTTATTTGTTTATTTATTTATTTATTTATTTTGGTACTGGGGATCGAACTCAGGTCCTTGCGCTTGTGAGGCAGGCCACTGAACTGCTGAGCTAAATCCCCGGCCCATATGCAATTTATTTTTAAAGGTCCTAGCATTATGAAAGAACGAGACTAGAAATGATAACCATTGAATGATAACCATTGAATTTGATTTGGTTCTCCTCCAACTCGCTTTTGGAAAGAATCAAGTTCATGAACCAAGGACCACTGTATATACTTTTTTTTTTCACTGTGTATACTTTTATATACTTATATGCTCTTTATATATACCCTTTATATACTTGTGTTTTCTCCAGTTATCTTAGAATGTTCTCAGAATGATGTTCTCAGAATGAAGCCCAGGGCACACAATTCCTTTGGAAAATCACTAATTGAAAAACTTCAGTAGAATCATGACATTACTTATTCTACCAAGTATTTTCAGAAAGCTCTTGTGTGTCCTACGGCCCTATAGGGAAAATGCTTTAAGTGCAAGGACCATATTCGTTTAACAAATATGTATTGAGTATATCTACAATCTACCTGCTACTGGGTCTTAAATACACAGTAATGAGTAGAATGGCTGTTGTTCTTATTAGTGTTCTTTTCTAGATAAAGGAAAAGACAAGCAGGTAAGCAAATAAATATAGTTACAAGATGAGGAAGACGGTAGGAAGGCAAAAAGGGTGCTGTGAAAGGATCACCATGGGTATCTAATTAAGTAGAGTAGTCAGGGGAAGGTCTGCCTGAGAAGGTGAAATTTAAACTGAGACTTAAAGGTTGCAGTTGAGTTAGTCATTCCAGGAACATAGGGCAGAGCACTTAAACAGAGGTAATTGTGTGTTTGGAACCTCTTAGAAAGACCTTAGTATGTTGTGATGTTGTGGGGATCAAATGATTGTTGTGTTTGGAATATAGAAAGTGAGGAGGAAGGAACCCCAGATGAGGTTGGAGGGGCAAGCTAGGCTGGTTCCTGCCCTTTCTAAACCGTGGTAAGGAGTTTGCATTTTATCTTGAGAACATACATAGAAAACCATTGAAAAGTTTTAAGTGAGGTTGTGGCCTAAATTTAGATAAATAGATAGATAGATAGATAGATAGATAGATAGATTTTTTCCCCCAGAACTGGGGATCAAACTCAGGACCTTGAGCTAAATCTTTGGCCCATTTATTTATATTTTTAAAATGGGAATATTGGCAGTTGTATTATGAATGGTGGAGGGAGTACTAAGGGAAGGCAAGAGACCATCTAGGAAATTCTTACAGCAGTTCAGAAGGCTGGGGGACTGGTATATTGTTCAAAATGGAAAGAGATAGATTGGATTCATGGAGGTAGAGTCCAGCGGATTTATTGATAGCTTGGAAAAGAAGATGGTATCAAGGTTGGCCTCAGGATTCTGCCTTAAGCAGTTTAGGATTTGGTCATCCATTTACTGAGAGTAGTGTCAAAAAGGGGTTGGGGTGTGGGGTTAATCCAAGAGTTCAGAGATAGGTTCTTTAGTATGAGATATCTGTGAGATACTCAAGTAGAGTTGTCAAATAGAAGGTTGTATGTACTAGTCTGAGTGTGCTCAAAGAAATTTGGGCTGGAAATACAAACAAGGTTGACTTTAGTCTTAGGTGGTTCTGAACCATGGTTCAAAAGGCTGAGACCTTCTAATGAAGAAATTCTTAACTTAGGGTCCAGGAACCTCACAAAATTCACTAGTAGAATTCTGGAAGCCTGTGAACTTGAATGGGAAAAATATCTCTTCTTTTTACTAACCACTGACTAAGATTTATCATTTCCTTCCATTTTTAATGGAGGCCTCAAACCAAAGTAATATTCATATTATTTGTAATTTTGTCACACAGAGATATCAAAATATTTTTATATCACATTACAGTTGTTGCTGAGATCCCAAAACAGCACCTACATTTTCATTGCTGCAGTACATTTCATTACGGTAATAAAGAATTTTTAGACCCATGACTAGATGCATTAATAAATACATTAATAAAAAAGCATATATTGTAATTCTTTTATATTTTGAAAACTGTATTTTAGTAAAATACGTTTCTTTTGTATTATGTATTTTATATTATATCTCTAAAAATTATCCTGAAATGGGCCATAGGCTTTCCTATATGTCAGAAGAATCTGTAGAACATAAGAAGATCAAGAATCATACATAATGAAATGAGAAGACGCCTAGGACAGAACCCTGAGGTTGGTTAGTGGAAGGAAAGCCAACAGAGAAGACTTTGTAGGAAAGCTCAAGACCTAGGAGGAAATCCAGAAGAGAATGTTGTCATGCGAATCAAAAGGGATCAGTGATTGAGGAGAGTGTCAGGTGGGTGAGGACAGAAGAGTGGCCTTTGGTAACATGATGTAATGGTGATTTTGATAAGCAACTTTATTAGAAGGATTAAAGAGATGCTAATGCTAGGCCAGAGTGGGAGAAAAGATGAATGGACAATAGAAAAATGGAGTCAGTGTGTTGGACCAGAAGTTAACAAACTTTTTATCTAAAGGCCAGATGGTAAAAATGTTTGGCTTTGTAAACCATTTGATCTCTGTCACAACTTCTCCTTTGTAGTATGAAAGCAGCCATAGACAGTGCTTAAATGAAAGTGTGTGGCTGGTTCCAGTGACACTTAATTTACAAAAACAGATGGCTAGGTCGGTTTA